ACCCAATGGTAAAACAAGATAGTTTCAATAATTTAAAATGTCTATTCCTAGAGAACTCCTTCCAATACTCCCTCTCACTCTAGAACTTGAAACCATGAACTAAGTAGTGGTTTTTTTTTTTTTTTTTTTTTTTGGGGGCTTAAACAATGATTGCCTGAATACTGTAAGGAACTTTGTCCCTCTAATGAATCTTATAGGGATGGGTGAAAAATGAAGACCTGATGTAATGAAAGATTAAGTATTGATGATGATGGTGATTATGATACAGATAACAGACTTTATTCGATTTTGAGCTGTCTTTAAACTAGAACCGGAGAACCTGTTGCACCCAGAATAGAAACACCAAATATTGTACGTCATGAATTCAACAGTCAGACAAGATTCAAATTATTGGATCGCAATTTTTGACGGTTGGATCCATTCAGCCGATGGAAAATAATAATAGTAATGTATAAGAGGTTATCAACTGAACTAAAAACAATTTTCTCTGTGTAGACATTTATATTTTTCTTGGGCATAGTAATTTGTATGTGCAGCGCTTCAAATATAATTCCTAAACATATATTTTGCTGCAGATTCCACCTGTTTTTAACTGAATCAACTAGAAGCTGTTTCCTCAAAATGCAGATGAGGATTTCAACACCGAGGAGCCGCTTTGATCAGTTGGCGGCTTCAAAAAACCAGTACAAATGATGCAGCCATGAACTGCATCGGCTCCCTCTCCTACTGTCCATGTGTTTTCTTTGTTTTGATCGATCCATGATTTGTAAAAGAGGACTGCCACTAGAAAGCAGCATCTGTGGCCGCATACTATATTTTGTTTAGCACAACATGAACAAACACTGTGTTTTCTGCATAGAGAAACAAAAAACAGAATGAAAAAGTGGAAAGGATACTGTAATCAGCTACAGGAAATGACAACAGAGAGAATTAAGAGCAGAATGAATGTAGAAGTGGTAAAAAAAATTATGATAACTGGCACTTTTGTGCAGGATTCAGAGACCTTCCCAGGAACGACTCAACAAACAAGGAGACCAGGATAATTCTTTTGTATAGTGGCGATGCAACAACAATGTTAAGTCTAACAAACATCATATTCAGCAAATATATAAAGAGCAAGGAAAAAGCGCGACTGGTTATTGCAATGTGCAAACTTGTAAAAGGTCTGATCTGATCATGTCTCTAATGCTAGCAGCAATGAACCTTTTCGCAGAATATCAGGAAAGATGACCACAACAATATAGAAGTTGGGGTGAGGGCGATGTTGCATCTGAAGCTGATGGTGGCAAATTTACGCGTCAGAGTGGATACATAAGAAATGACAATGTGGGTCTTAAAAATAAGTAAACAGAACCTTTAAACCTCTGAATTATATACTAAAGGGAGCAGAAATTCAAGAAGGGACCATTTTTCTGACTTCTTTCCCTTTTGACAATTGAATATGTGATCGTACGACTGAGTAAGACAACTTAGACAACACTGACATCAATTTTCTCTCCCAGAACATCGACAGTGGAAAATACAAGTGAATAACACTGCACAAACCCACAAGACGCATTCAGGGTAATGATTAGTACAAAACATTTACATGGCACCGGCAACTACTTTATATGGAATGCTGCAGATTGCGAGGAAGTATTGAAAGAAGCGAGAAATAAATGAAAATGGTATAACCTGGTTGTCACAACTCACATGTATTAAAAATACATTCACCAAATACCGAAGAATTCAATCAGATGGGAAACAGAAACAGAAACAGAAAAAAAGGTTTCCCAGAAAGCAATATATTAACAAGGGGAACTCCATGTTCCTTTTTGCCTTGAGTTAAAAAAAAATATCCATCACAAGAGTACAATAAGTGGAACTTAGTCATCTAGAGAAACACGAAAAAGAACCTCTTAATCAGCAGCGATGGACATTGTTAAAAATATTTCAACAAGAGTCTGGTGCGTTTATCTGCGAGAGGCAGAAGTTCATCAAAAAAGAATGTAAATGGTAGCGAGACACGGATTAATTCCTAGTCCTCCATATCAGACTTAAATCTTGCATCTTATGACCTCAAAAGTAAATTGTTAGTTACTGAATTTTGAGTTATAATATATAGAAAGCTATAGTCCAAATTTGCTGGGTGTCTATATTAGCTTAGAATTGCCAGTGATTTAATTATGAGAAATAATAGTAGTCGGGTAACGTCAACCACAGAGAATACATGGAACCACGTTTTTGCATGTATCCATCTCACTGGATGACGCAGCTTATGGCATGAACAATGTTCAATGAGGATGAAGAGTCCATCTCATGTCGACAAGAGATGATGAGCTGTATAAAAAAAAACATGTCAAACTCTCCTAAAGCTTCCAGATTTATAATTTCAAGCTAATCGAAAAGTTGCTGATTACGAAATCAAGAGGAATCTTCTTGGCTGAGGTAAGATTAGCAGTGGTTCTGTTGAATTATTTCAGCCTTTAATGTTTCAATGAATCAGCCTCATATTCACGTACTCAATTAAGAGATTCAACAGAACTGAAGAATAATTATCTGAAGACAAAATCACACCAAATAAACCACCATAAGTAGCCAGCTAGGTGCTTGGAGAACACCAAGGCACATAGTTCTTCAAGAGATAAAGCAAACAGCAACGAAAATACTTTGATAGCAAGAGGTTTCGAGATAAAAAGTTCTCCCAACTTCAACAAATATAACAAAAGATAAAATCAACTAATTCTAGGTTGGAGCGGATTTCTTCTTAAATTTGGGTCAGCTTAAAGCATAATCTTTCAGAAATCAGCAGCCCACAGGGATTAGTTTATACACAATATCAGATCATTAGAAACTGAAAGAACACCAAAAGCGAAATAGAGACAGTGGTTCCATGCTCTTGTTATCTTAAATGGTGCTGTAGTACCAGGAAACAGAAAACTAGTTCCTTCCAACAAGTGTAGTCTTCATGGAGGTAACGCATATGTGCAAGAAAGTTAAAGTACCTTAACACAGTATTTTATCTACAAGCAGGGGAATACATTTTCTGGGGTTAATCAGATGTATTTCATGCATTAATGATAAGCAGTTACACTTACTCTACGCTTAGGGTTAAGATCATCGTCAGTAGGTAGTGAACATTCATTAAAAGCAGATCCAACTAATGGTGAGTAATTAACACGTGCAAATTTTTGTGTAACCGCATATGACAGATCAAATACAATATACTCAGATTACTCAGATCCCAGCTAAAATCCTCGCAAAGATGGGGCACTGAAGAAGGCAGGTGATAACTATGTAAATGGGAACATTGTTGAGTGGGTATTCTCTGCAGCCATACTCTTCAAATAAAGCTTTCTTTTATATGTCACTGTCGTTAGATCATTAGCTACTGCATATTGGAATCCAAAGACTTCAGAAACACTTCATAGGAAAATGATTGCTAAGTCCACTTCAAGCAACAGCATTTAATTAACTAACTGATAGAGCTAAATTTTGGAGGAAACTTAACCTAGGATCTTTCGCAGAAGTAAAAAAGATCTTTTGGATCACCTTTAATACATTGATGCATGAAGCAATCGACATAATGAAAAACAGATCAAAGTAACGTTACCAAAATTCAATAAAGATGTATTCGTGTAATGATTAAATTTTTGGAGGGAACAAATGCCAAGAAGTCACTAATGCATAAAGGAGCCTAGGTAAAGCTTCCAAGGCCTGAACCTTGACTTAATTGGTCAAGGGGTCCCATTCCAGAAAGAGTTTCTTTAAATAAAGAATATAACACATTAATTTTTGTCAATTTTGAAATTTAAATTTGTCAAATGGTATTTTTCAGCACAAATGTTGCTTTGCAGGAATTTCCCCAATTCCATGTTTCCAGTGTTGAATCTTTGTTTCTAAAGTTGACATACACAACTCTACCTTTTAACAATTGAGTATAGATGAAAAATAAAAATTTAATCTTTAACAGAAGCGAAAGGTGGTTTTTAGTCTACAATTAATGCATCTCTATGAGTATTTCAGTTCATTAAAAAATTCCTGTGACATCAGTCTTCTTTAGCAGTTGGGTGAGACAATTTTGCATTGGGTATGCCTAAATATCCCTAGGTGTGACAATTACAAGTCTAGAGGCGGTTCTTTGAAAATCTGTTATTTTCCTGCAATTCTCCTACAGCTTTAGCTCTATTATAATAAACTTAAGTTTTATCTGCCATCCTATCTCCTAAGAGCCTAAAGAGCACCTCAGATCTGTTCTAGGGCTATACAAGCTTTTGCTGCATCATTTCCTCAAAGAGATACTCTTTCATGTTCGGTGAAACGTGTTCCCTGCTTTAGATTGCGTAAACCTCAAAGAGGTATTCTGTTATGAACCATATGAATTTTATTATTTTTTTTAAACATAAGCAATTACTGCTGCAATAAATAGGTGTGCGCATAACAAGTGGACTGGCTATAGAAGATTGTGCACAAGGAACATCTGATAAACAGTAAAGCAGAATGAATAAAATTATTTTCATCCCCATGATGTGTCCTCACTTCAGAAGCTGCTAATCTTATCTATCCAAAGTCCCACAAAAGATATTTGATGGTAGTAAATATTTCATAAATACCAAAATAATTAGGCGTGAAGTTAGAAATCCTAAGCCCAGAATACAGTTCATTATGTCAATGGAAAGTTACAGTTCTATAAATCCTATTTAGGGTCTCTGACGGTGAAAATAGATGTCATGCAAAAGCTACATCCTCCAAAATCATCATCAGCAGAAGAAAGTAGTAAGAAAATTAAGAGCTTCCCTTATCAATGAGACACAGATTGGACATTCAATAACATAGTGATCAGATAGCCTTTTCCTCACTGAATAAATGATTGTATTTTTCAAATAAACAATGGACGAACTGAAAAATGATTCTCAGTATGCTAACATCCACTGACACAAAAAGTCCATACTCTTCTTGAACTGAGTTCAAAGTACAGTTCATGTCAACATCAGTTAAAAAAAAAAAGAGGCACGAAGTACCTTAGATTCATTTGGTCTTCACCAATAGTCCCTACAAGAACATATTCCATCCTTGAAATGGTGAAATCTCTTTGCATCTCGCATTATAAGTTCCCTACCTACCAGCTTTGAAATAATTTTCATGGCATTATGACAATCAACACAAATGCGAAGATTTTTTATAACACGCATTGGTTGTCGAGCGGGGGTGCTTAAGAAGCCCCGAGATACAGCAAGTCTCTCACTGTGTCCAAGGAGAGCTTCCTCCTTAGACTCTGGGTCTATATCATGGAGAACGCCTTTGAGTTCTGGAACATAACCGGATTCTTTCATTTGCTCCTTCAGCCCATAAAGGAGTGCATATAACTTTTCAGAATCAGGGTCAGATCTATCTCCAGCCCTATATTCATGGACTCGACTCCTTATCTCTAGAGGATTTTGACCACCTTCCTTCTTCTTCTCCTTCATATTAGCAGAATCTGACACTTTTAGAGGCAAAAGACCAGCCCTTGACTGTTCATTCAATAAAGAGGGATCCAGGAGGTCAACAAGCTCAGCACAACGATCTCCGAGCTCTGTGTTACCTTGAATTCTAGAAAGATTCATCAATTTTTCCCAGACTTCCACACCTGGCTCTATCGGCATCTTTTCGATAAATTCCAAAGCTTCGTCTAGGTGTCCCACACTTCCAAGCATGTCGATTACTCCCACATAGTGTTCTATGGATGGAACTATATCATTATCCTTGCTCATTGCTTCAAAATGCAACAAGCCCTCAGTGGTGTCGAGTAAGGCTTTGCATGCCAGGAAAACACCAAGGTAAATTTGACCGTCAGGTTTCAGCCCAAGTGCCCTAAGTTCAGTAAACAAATCGATCGCAGCTTCAGGATGACCATTCTTCGCAAGCCCAGTTATCATGATGTCCCAAGAAGTCAAATTACGAGGCATTGCATCAAACACCCTAAAAGCGTCCTTCATGGAACCACATGCAGAATAAATCTCAAGAATCCTATTGTAAGTACAGACTTCAAGATTAGGTACTGATCTGATAAGATGTTCATGAATGGCCTTTGCTTCCTCAAGAGAATCATTCTCACCACAGGCCTTCATCAAGGCCAAATAACGAGATAAATCAACCACAATGCCCTGCTTCTCTAAGAGAGTCAAAACTTTCACTGCTTCCTCCAGATTAGCCACACTGAGACAATCATCGAGCTCTTGAATAGTGCCTTTCAATCCTTTGTGTCCATCTCCACTACCTGAGTCATCATTATTTGAAACCACAGCCACATTTTGTGGTAGTGTTCCAACATTATTTGCATCAGGCCAAGCCCGGTTATTCTGAAAACTTCCAGGACTTCCAGCGTAATAGTTTCCATAAGTCTGACCTGAAACCCCTGAATTTCCCACATCGTATCTGACTGCATTCTGTTGTGCCACTCCATTTCCACCAGAATAACCACTTCTCTGTAACTCTGAGGAATTCCAAGTGTTAGTCCGGTTTACATTCTGCTGTGCCCGAAATGAATCCCCATAAGCAGAATTACCACTTCTCTGTACCTCTGAGGAATTCCAAGTGTTAGTCCGGTTTACATTCTGCTGTGCCCGAAATGAATCCCCATAAGCAGAATTACCACTTCTCTGTACCTCGGAGGAATTCCAAGTGTTAGTCCGGTTTACGTTCTGCTGTGCCTGAAATGAATCCCCATAAGCAGAATTACCACTTCTCTGTACCTCTGAGGAATTCCAAGTGTTAGTCCTGTTTACATTCTGCTGTGCCCGAAATGAATCCCCATAAGCAGAATTTGCGATTCGGTTCTCTAAGCTCTGCTGGTGCTCATTTATTTGGGGATGTCTAGGATTCCCATTAAAAAGATTCTGGTTATTTCCATACGGATTCCTGTGAAACCCACCTACATTCTGCTGCACATTATCAAAACCTCCCGGACCAAAATTCGAAACTGCACTATGCCGAAATTCGCTCCTTTGACCCTCCCCAGTGTACCCAGAAGGCATACCTCTATCTACCCCATTATGGTTTTGATGTAACCCATTGTTAAATGCATTAAAAGAATTATAATTCCCATCAAAATTACCATAATTGCCAGTTGGGTCTCCCTGCTTCCCACTGACAACAGTTTTCCCATAAACCCCAGAAGGATTCTGCCAGTTCAACTCATTCCCACCACGAAATCCATCTGGGTTCCTATGAAAATGCCCACTATTTTCCCTAACATTCCGATTCCCGCCCCGCCCATGATTAATTTGCGTACCATTATCACCATAAAAACCTTCAGAGTTACCCTTATAATTAACATACCGCTCATCAGGCAAACCATTAGAGCTATCAAAATGTAATCTTTCAGTAGCTGTATTGATATTACGCAAGTGAGGGAATCTGCATACCTTGGGAAGGGTTCTCAGAGAGTTGAGAGTGAGAACTGCACCTTTGTTTCTATACATCTGTACTTCCAATCCTGTGTAACTCAAATAATCTTTGAAGAATTATACAGCCGAATCCAGACGAACGGAAACGGAAGATCAAAAGAAAAACTTGGCTTCTGCAGAAAGTGATGATTTTGCTTTCTTTCTTCCTCTCCTTTTTTGCTTCTGTTTTTCGCCCAGTGAAAACCTCATAAACCCTTTCCAACGAATAAGGGTAATTTGGGAAAAAGGGGGACTTTTTTGGAGCCTTACGACGTCGTTTGCCTTTGCTTTTTCCTTCTCAAGACTACAAACTATTACAAAATTCCCATCCTATTTGGAGAAGGAAAAAACCATGGCGTCTGAGGGTTTAAGGGCGGGAATTTCAGAAGAAAAACCATGGCGGGTCTTGGAATTCTACAGTGGAGTTGGCGGCATGGTAGTGCTTTTATATGATCATTTTTTTACTCTTTGCTTGTTTAACACTGTGTGACTGTGTGTTTTTGTCTGCTCGCGTATGGAGGTTTGAAACTTTTTTTCTTCTTGTCCTGTTTCTTCAGAGATACTCTTTGATGAAAGCTGAAGTTAACGCAACTGTTGTGGAAGCATTCGACATTAACGACGTGGCAAATGATGTGTATGAGCACAACTTTGGACACCGCCCTTATCAAGTACTGTGTAAATTTGGCCAATCTGTTTTGTTCTAATCCATTTAAGTGCAATCTTTTTTTCTTTTTTTGGTAGTATGAAGTTAGTGGGAAAGGCATCAAAATGATAATTGGATTTGAATATCCGGCAAATTGAGATTGAAGAGCTATTTTAAATGAAACTGAATAGAGATGCATTAATTAGAATAATTCTTTGAGATAATGATGAATGAAGGAGTAACTGGCAAAACAAAGATGGGTTACCAAGCTTTAAATGAATGAATTTTGAGAAATTAAGAATGGGCTCGACTGAGCATTTTTTTGTGTTTGAATGGGGTTGAAGTTTAAATATCTGATGAATTTCAGCTCAACTGATGTTTGTGGGAGAAACTGATGTTTGGTTTTGGCAAGCTAGAGAACATATCTGTGTGAGCTGGAATTTTTCTGTATTCTACTTAGGAAAACTTGATGAAGAGTGTCTAGTTATTTATCAATGTATATGCCTTTTAAGGATGGCTTACACACCTTTGAAATTTTCATATATCTTGTTACAGTGTTACTTTTAGCTATCTCTTTCTCTAAGGTTACATTTTGATTGTGTAGGGGAACATTCAGTCACTGAGTGCAAATGATCTTGACAGTTATAAGGCGGATGTATGGCTTCTATCTCCACCTTGCCAACCCTATACTCGACAAGGTGATAATCTATTTACTTTTGTTCTTTCTTTTTTTGGACCACATGATTATTTATCTTTTATGTCCCCTAGAAGCATTTAAGAATCATATTTTTGTTTAGGACTTCAGAAGGGTTCCAGCGATGCTCGGGCGTCCTCTTTTTTAAGAATTTTGGAACTGATACCTCAGAGTTTACAGCCTCCAGTTATGCTCTTTGTTGAGAATGTTGTTGGATTTGAGGTGTGTTCTAGAGTGAAAACATGGCTAGTCATTTTTCCAATGTGATAATTATTGATAGACATTACATCTCAATTTGTTTATTTCTTGCAGACATCTGACACTCATAAAATAATGGTTGATATGTTGGAAGAGAACAACTATATCCTACAAGAATTCATTTTGAGCCCATTGCAATTTGGTGTACCGTACTCTAGGCCTCGATATTTCTGTTTGGTATCTCTCTCTCTCCCTCTCCCTCTCTCTCCTTCCCTCCCCCCGGCCAAAGTCTTTGGCCTCTCCTTCTCCGCGACCACGCCCGCTCACGCTTTGCTGACTTATCCCCCCTCATGAAGTGTCAAGTTTTGGTGCATCAGTTATGTCATTATGTATAGATGTTGTAAATTAAGCTGATATCTGACAATGTCATTCTTAGGAAAAACACTAGTATTTCTAATTGCAGAATGGTACTAGTTGGTTCTGGAATGAATTTAGTTCTCCTTGTTGCAATGATACAGTATCTAACCTTGTCGGAATGCATCAACCATTAGATACTTGATGGTTTCACAATAAGAGGCATGGATGCCTAGCTTAATGTGCGCTGACTTTATATTGGTCAAATGAGCCTTCATAATAAACTTCATGACAGGAAAATGAAATAAGTCACTACTAATGCAAAGGATCGAATGTTCTTTAGTAAGGGAACTATTGATATGGGTTGTAGCATTTTATTTTATATATCTTTCTTCTATCCTTTTGTTATAATGGGCATCAATCACTGCTGGTGGTTTCTGATGCAAAAGGGTGTTTTATGGATTGGGGGGATAACTCCTACGAGCTTGTTTCTTGGAACATGATCGATCTACTCAAGAAATTTCTAGTAATCTACATGAAAAAGGAAAGAGAATCAGTTATAGTTTGATTCCTGTTATTTATGTTTTCTTTTCCCTTCTGCAGAATTTATCTGCTGAAAGAAGCCACACTTACTGCTATTTTACGTTCTACTTTATGCCCATATTTTAAAGCATATACCTAGTGTTCTCAAAACCATGTACCATTAGCTACCAGTTTATGCAATTTGCTTGTGGTGTGGTCTTTTAACTGAGTTTCAATTTGCAATTTCATGCTGCAGGCCAAGAGAAAACCTTCATCCTTTAGACATCTTAAATTCAACAGCCGACTTCTTTATTCCCCTGGCCCATTGCAAGGACATGAAGATGTTAAAATCAATCCAAATGATCAATCAGGGGGATATTGCAATGAGTTCATACAAATTTGTCAGCCTGTCAAGGATTTTCTTGAGTTTAAGGATCCTGATAAAAGGTGGATTCAGAATCCTATTCTTTGCTGGTTATTTTATCTGAACTAACTGAGTGACTTGATGAAAGTAGTTGCAGCTCCTTGGATCATTACTCTGTCCCGTTAAGCTTGGTAGAGAGATGGGGAAGTGCCATGGGTATCCATCAATCTAATTTTTCTGTTTAACTTTTCCAAATTGTCTACAAATTGTCAGATGATTTATTTACTTAAGGGATTGCAGATATTGTGTTCCCTGATTCAAAGCGCTGCTGCTGTTTTACAAAAAGCTACTATCGTTTTGTAAAGGGCACAGGTTCCCTTTTGGCAACTGCTGGGGTATGATCTTCTTCTTAAGCAGTAATGAAATTGTTCCTTATGCAACTGTGCAATCCACTTCTAGACATGAATCTCTAGTTTGTGATCTGTTTAGGAATAATAATGTCGGCATAATATTGTCATGTGCATGTTTCTCTACTGTTGCTTCTTTCTGGTATCTCAGAAAAAAGTCCTGTTTTACTTTCTTTGTCATGGATATATGAAACTGGCTGGTTATTTCTCAGTGAAGCATGCCCTTGTAAGTGGAGGTATATGTAACTGGTTAATCTCTAGACACTAACTGTATTCCTTAAAAATAGATATAGATGGCTTGATGACATCAAAATCTTTCTTCTTTTTTTTTTTATTCGGGTTAAATAGCATCAAACTTTTCAATATACTAGAGCCCATAAAGTTTGAAGATTTGAAAATACAGAAGGTGGCGTGTGCAAAGATAAGGTCAAATGTGTTCTTAGCTGCTGTAGCCTGCATGTTAAGCACATGGTTTTTAGCCACTGTCGCCTGTGTGGCAACAGATAAACCCTTCACCTGTCTTTTGATTGATGATCTTGCGAAGCAAGCGTTAGATCATATCCATGATCTTAGCCTCCCTTTTTTTCCTTTTTGTCTCTTACAAACTCTTTATTGTTTGTCATCCATCCCAAGGATATCCTCCCTTCTGTGCACCATGGGCCCCCAGCTGCTGTTGAAGTGGCAGATTTGTGGAGGTTAAAAATTTTGAATATAAAAAACAAATGAAAATAAATTAAGTTTTGTTACTCCCTTGGTAACTGCATTTTGCATTGTGCTTGATAGAATGTCAAATCTTCAGAGAGCAAGTTTGAATCATATGTGGAACAATTTTAACTGTCAGTTGTGGAAACCTTGTATTCTTAATTCTTTCCTAACATATTTGTCAGCTGATGGAAATGTTGTTCTGTCTTGAACATGCAGGAAGTAAATGACAAAAAGACAGCTCCCCTGGAGGAACTTTGCCTTAGATACTTTACCCCTCGAGAGGTTTGTCATTTACTAATGTCATGGATTTGTTTTCTTACCACAAACCCAAATAAAACCCCAATGCACTTCAGTGATCAGCAGTGTCAGATTTTGACTGCTTCCTCAATTTTTAGGTAGCAAACTTGCATTCTTTTCCTGGAGATTTTCAGTTTCCTCCGCATATCAGCCTCCGACAATGGTATGTTTTCTAACAATCCTAAATCCTTGTGAAGTAGGATAGTCATAATCTACTGCTGAATTGCTCAAGATTGATTCAGTAAGGTCTAACTACAATTAGAGGGATTATAGTATTAGCCTATGTTTCCTTTGTCATCTGCGTTTCATTACATGTACTCTTCATTTAATGGCTTCACGCTATCCAACATGGGTGCTGCTACAGAATCCAAGTGTGACATGGCGAAAGAAGTTGGACACTTGATTTCCTCGATTCTTCCTTCATCTTTGCATTTCCATCTACTCATCTTCTAACCAAACACCTGGAATTCCCATTGTGGCCATGATTACCTAAATCTTTGTGAGTGTTCGGATTTATACCCAGGAACTGAAGGAAAAACCAAAAAGCTTTAACATTGATGTTACTTTAGAGAAAAGAAAGACTACTAAACCTAATCTTAGTTTTCTGCTTAGAGGAAAAAAAGAAAAAGGATAAGGAAAGTTTACCGGATGAGAAGATGATTAGAATGGAGAGAAAGTGAAAGGAGCAAAGCATGTAAAGATGGATAGAGACAGGTGCAGGGTTTTGTGTACATTTTCCCCTCCAAGCAAGGGTTTGTATACATCTTCCCCTCCAACCAAAAGGATAATCTTTTCTGTCCAGTTGCAAAGGCTGTAATATGTAACAATTCCCTAATTTTCCTATTACTTATTAACGGAAATAACAATATAGTTATATTAGTTACAAACTATTTCCCCTTATCTGGATCCAGCTCCTTTTTTGGTCCCTATGTCTCAATTTAACAATTTATGAGTTTGCCACTTCCTGCATCTGTCACTCTAGGTTGCACCTTTTTCCACATGACGTAGTATATAGGAGCTCATCTCTTTCTTTCATTACTTTGTTTTTGCTAACCTTTGGTTGAAAAGGCAATTGCAATGTGAGAATCTAAAATATTTAATATAGGGGGTAACCCAAATTTGTATTTGTAATCTGAATAGCATTGAGGCTTTGCTAGAATACAACCTAACTCCTTTCCTCTGGGCTGCCATGGCTCTGTCTAAATGGCAAACCCTGTTATGACTTTGAGTATGGTGTATCTTTCTAAGCTGTCTCTTTTGAAGTAGCCTACGGATGTCAGGCCTAGGAAATGGCCTCTAATTTGTTTGATCGGGCCAGGCATAGAGCTAGTGCTCTTTTGTCTCTAATTATTTCGAACAGCTATCAGTTTAATGTGTAGATGACCTGGTTGAAATAGTTGAAATTTTCTTTTGAGATTTTCGTCATACATACTTGAGACCAAAGTTCTTTCTATATTATGTTAGATTTCAATTCTTTTTATTAGTTATCGTATGATTAGGCAAATGGAACTTGATAATGCTTACGTTCTTCTGGCATGCAAGTTCCTCGACTTCCTGAGCTGAATAATTTTCCTTTTCACTGCAGTTATGCATTGCTTGGAAATAGTTTGAGTGTTGGGGTGGTTGCTCCCCTACTCCACTATCTATTTTCCGATCCAGTATGACCATCGACGATCATTGTGATACAACACGTCCTGAAGATAACTTTGTATGTTTGAATTCAATATCATCCGGAACATGGCAACGCTGCTCCAAGGTTCTGGCGTTCGGAGATCTACTAGTCTTCCACCTTTTATCATTGTGTGGAACTTGCTTGATGTTACCAATTTTAAGATACATGTTGTTAGTTAGTTAGTATTAGGTAGGAGGCCTTTGTGTCTGATACAAAGATGCCATTGTATGATCTAATCAGAACTATGTGTTCAATTTACATGTGATCTTAGTCTAAAAATGACAGAAAGACCTTCAATTAAAAAAAAATAGATAAACATTTCATTCTCAAATTATTCTTGGAATGTACCTCTCTTTTTTCTAGATCTTCTAGAGAAAATTCTTTATTTGATTTTTATTTTAGACTTACGTAGCATAAAAAAAAAAGATTGCTCTTGCGTAAACTACCGTCATAACGTAATTTATTTTTGAAATTGCAATTTTATAACAGTAACTAATGCGGTTCACTAAATAAAGTTGTTAAAAAAAATGTTTGTATATATTTCCTCCGGTCCTTATTATAAGGCGTTTAGATTTCGTGTTAGGTTTCAACTAGAATGATTTTTTAATTGGAAAAAAAATTTTAAAAATATATTTTCATGTTCGTTGTGTTCTTCTATTTATTATGAAATATTTTTTAATGTTTTTATTTTGATTAAAAAAACATTTTAGGTGAAACCTAAGACGAAATCAAAATGCCTTATAATAAAGATCGGAAGGAGTATTTTTTTTTTTATTATGCCTGTATGTTAGACCGCTTGTTACACAAAATCCTCTTGAAACATGAGGGTTCAAGACCTCCCAAAAACATGAATTAGGCCAATAAAATTAGGTCCATTGGCTTCCACTTCATCTAATAATCATAAAGAAAAGATTCTTGGTTATGATATATGCAAATGCAAACTTGATTTATTAACATTATTTCGGTTTTTTTTAGGAGAATCTAAGGTGGTATCTGACGGGAGGACCCCGATTTTATTAATTTAAACAAGAGGATTACACAAGACAGTGTTTAAAACTTACCCAATTTGAAAAAAAATCGTCTCACAAAAGTTTTTAGAAAACTCCATGACGATTCCTTAGCAGACTAAAGCTATGAACTGTCTTACATAGATTATACTAATAATCTTATGACAGTTCAAATTGTTAATTTTAATTAAAAACTATTAACTGATATACAAAGATTTAGCATAATCCCATATCAGTTCTTGAGTCTAAAAATTTACTTAACCTGAAGAAACTCTAAAAAATATGTTTTAAAACCTTACCTGATTCGGAGATATGAGAAGGATCTTTGGTCTAGCAATAGTAAACCACAAATCTTATTTGGCATCTCCAAATAAGAATCATAGTCTAAATGCAAACCATTTGATCTCAATTTAGCAAGCAAATCAGCTACAACATTGACTTCGCGGAAAACATGTATTATTTGATAGCACCTCCGCTTGAGAATATTTGAGATCTCTGTTAATTCCATATGAAATTTCCATGGAAAATCTTTATCTTTGAGGAGGAGATCCACTGCTACTTTGCTGTCAAACTGCACTTGGACTGTCGAGAGATCTTGCAATTCACAGTATTTGAGCCCTTCTAGTATTCCTTGAATTTCAGTCTTAAAACTGAGATCTTGACCTAGATAATCGCATGCCGCATGTACCATTTTCCGTTGCTCCCCTCTAACCACATAGCTCCATCCTGCTTCCCTCGGGCTTTCTTTTGTTGAGCCATCAGTATTTAAAATAAAACTCCCAGGGTCTGGTGGCTTCCGAGAAACCATTATGATTAACTTTAATTTTTGAAGTTGAACCTTAACTTGAAAAATATGTTCAACTCTTTGTTGTTCCATTCTTAATCCAGCTCTCAAGTTGTGAACTCTCAACAAACATGAAACGTTAGTTTTAATGGCAAAAACAATAGAATGAAAATGAAATCTTTTACCTTCAAACACAGAAGAGTTCATCGCTTTCCATAACTCCCACAAAATAAAAGCCGGAAGTGCCATATTTACTGTCTTTCTTGCTGTAGAAAAACTCCCCAGAGATAACCAGGCTTGTATGTAGGCCCATAGACTTTCCGACAAAGGTAAACGTAACTTCATCTCATCCGCAAAAAAATTTCAAACTCTTGTAGCAAAAGAGCAGCCCAAAAATATATGATCGAAAGACTCTTCTTGCTCCAGACAAAGAGGACAACGCAAAGGTCTAGCATGGATGCCGAATTTAAGGATTGTTTCTGATAATGGCAGAAAACGGTTGAAAAATCTCCAGCTGAAAAAAGATATTCGGGTTAGAATGACTTTGTTCCATAAAGATTTAATCCAGAAATTTTCATTTTGTCTATCTCGAAACGCTTGATAAGCTGAGGCTATAGAGAACGTTCCTGTTTGAGAAGGCTGCCAAATGAATGTATCTTCCTCATTGGAGAATCTAAAAGAGGTTCCACGATCATTCAAAAATTCAGTTTGTGCGCCTGTGTGCCAACCTGCAATGACCGACATAATTGCCTGATGATTCTCAAAAAATTCCTTGACCGAGATGTGAGAGAAAGGTGGCCGGGGTTGCTGATTAAGTCCGTAGAATACGCCGAGTTCAGACCACTTGTCAAACCAGAAAGAAACCATACCTTTGCTCAACCGAATCTCTATATGAAATGAAGCCCTACATCAATGTTGATGATTCTACGCCAGCTAGTAGTTCGATTCTTTGATGCATTTGACAGAGAAGCCACAAATTTTGCCCATATTCCAGTTTGATTTTTGTACTTCCAACCAACTTAGCAGCAAAAGCTTCAATGACATCTTGAAATTTCCGAATGCCAATTCCATTTTCTTCTATCGGGAATGCCAATCACCGTCAAGAACGCCAGTGCTTCTTCAAACCTTTATCCATTTTATCCCATAAGAAATTTTGGCATCTTTTCTCTAAAGCTTGGACAATGGATTTTGGTGGTTCGATCACAGGAAACGTATGGATTGGGATTGAAGAAAGAACATGCTTGATCAATATCAAACGTCCGCCACTTGACAAAAGTTTATTGCGCCAATTAAATAGCTTTGCATACAAAGAATCAAGTAGATGTTGAAACTGACTGATCACTTTTCACCCTTTAAAAATTCTGGAACCTAAATATCTCATTGGAAGAGATTCCCGTTGGATTCCTTGAATACTCCGAGCCCGCATCACTTGATCTTCACTTGCTCCTTCAGCTACCAGAAAATCACTTTTTTGTCTATTTATCTTTTGGCCCGTTGCCAACTCGTAAGTTTGAAAGAATTCATTTAACGTCTCAAGAGATCTTTTAGAGCTTTTAGTATACACAATCAAATCATCCGCATAGCTCAAATGAGATATTGGTAAAGTTCCTGCCGGTATCCCATTGTTTGCAACTCGCCCCGAAGAATTTAGAAAATTTAGTTTCTAGTCAATGGTTCAGACACTAGAATAAAAAGGTATGGTGATAAAGGATCACCTTGTTTAATACTCTAGTAGCTTGGAAAAAGCCTATCGAACTTCCATTAAGCATCACTGAAACTAGCTTCCACCAAGATTATTCATGATGAGATGTACAAAATGTCGATGAAAACCGAAAGCCTCCAAAGTAGCTTTGAGAAAACTCCAAGATACTCGGACGAAAGCGTTCATCATACCTACTTTCAAAATAATATTCCCTCCAAAAGTCTTATTGTCCAGAAATTGCACCAAACCTTGGGTGAGGAGAATGTTGTCCGTGATGTCTCGTCCAGCCAAAAATGCCGATTGTTTCTCTGAAAAAATCTTTCCAAGTAAAGGTTTCAACCGCTCCGTCATAATTTTGGTGAAGACTTTGTTAACAAAATTGCACAAGCTTATAGGCCGATAATCCGCAAAACTTGTCACTGCTGCCTTTTTGGGAATTAGAGTAATTAAAGTGCTTCCTACTGCTCGCGGGAGAGGCGATCCATTGAAGAAATCCTCACAGGCGGACAGAAGATCATGACGTATAATTTCCCAGCAATGAGTATAGAAGAAAGCAGCATAGCCGTCAATTCTAGGTGCACTTGTCGGATCAAGATCAAATACTGCCATTTTGAGCTCATCCATAGTAACACCTCTTAGCACCTGATCATTGTCTTCACTCGTGATAAGGGCAGAAATATGTTGCAGTAAACACGCTCGGGCTTCGTTTCTACCTTCCGGATCATCATCAGTTAGTAGTGTCTTGAAAAATCCACTGCTTCTTTTTCAATTGCCGAAACCTCATTCAACCATTCACCACGTACAGACTAAATTTTGTAAATGCCCTGCCTTGCTTGTTTTTCTTTTAATGTCGCATGGAAAAAAATAGTGTTAGCATCTCCTTCTTTGAGCCATTTTAACTTCATTTTTTGGCGCATAAAATCATCTCGTTCCCGCAATTTAGAAAGGAGTTTTGCTTTAGCTTCCTGTAAACTTGTTCTATCAACAGGATCTCCTGAAGGTTCATAAACTAACTCTTTTTTTTGGACCTCTTCCTCTACTTCACGTAGATTCTGGAAAACATCTCCAAAAGTCGTCTTATTCCAACCTTTTAAGCGCAGCTTTAAACGTCTCAATTTAAAGTTAAAAACTAGCATTCCATTTAGGCCAGTTTCTTGATCCCAATTCATACGTACCATTTCGAGAAATTCTGGCCTTCGTGTCCACATATTTTGAAACTTGAAAGGTCTCGGTTTGGTGTCCAAATCAAGGCTGAATTGATATAGAATCGGACTATGATCCGATTGAACCTAGTTTAAATGCTGCACCATAACCTTTGGGAATTTCGTCAGCCACTCTAAGGAGAAGAGTATTCTGTCCAATTTCTTGAGCACACGACCATGAACGCGATTTCCTTCCCAAGTATAATCAGATCCTAAAGTTTGTAGTTATGCCAGATTACAATCCAAAATACAGTTATTAAATTCGTCCATCGATGACCGTTCTGGTTCTGAATTCCCGTCTTATTCATCCATAGTATGAATAATGTTAAAATCTCCTCCGATCATCCAAGGTTGAGCTGCATGATTATCATAGAAATCCTTCAATTCAGCCCATAATTCTTGTCGAGTATTCCTTGAAGACTTGGCATAAACAGCAGAGAGTAAAACTCTTTCGGTTAGATTTGGCATTGAAGCTTCAATATGAATTACCTGATTCGAGCCACCTAACAAAACAGGAGCAAAAACAGAAGAGCAAAAAAAACAAACTTTGTTCCAATGTAAGCACATAGCAATATCAAAATTCAAAAGGTGTTTAAATTCTTCTATTCTAAAGTTTTCTACCATTGGTTCCAATAGAATTAGAATTTGAATTGAATGCATACTGATTAGGTTTTTAAGCCTAAGACGTGTTGCTTTATTAGAAATACTACGCACATTCCATATAAGGCAGCTATTCATTTAAACAATTAGATTGATATCACTTTGGAGTCTCGTCGATCGACGAGTTTCAGTACCCGACAGTAGAGTGACCTTCTTAGAGCTCCGAGGTCTTGCACGTCGATTGTCATTATATTTAATTTTAGTTTCGTTATTTTTCACAGTTGCATAGTTAGTCTAATATAACCCGATCAAGGAGTGACTATAGTTTTTTTCTTCTTCTTCTCCTAAATTAAAAGACTGATTGGGATTTTCAAAATCTCGGAGTAAAAATCTTTATGTTTTTATCAATTTTGCAGGATGTGTTGCTAATTTACACATAATAGAATAAAAAAGTGCTATGAAGGGAAAACCATTGACAGTCACAGGGCTCTCACAGCTATCAAACTCCTAAAAAGGGAAAAGAACAAAAATCAAACAGGAATTTTTGAAATTTGAATTTTACCGTTTGTTTATGTAATTAACTATTTATTTAAATCGGTAATTTTTTAATTAGAAGAAAATCCCCAAAATTTGAAATAACTTGAGGGCAAAAAAGCCGAAGTAGGGACACGTGATGCTCACTTGACTGATGTCCCCACCGCCCATCAACACAGTGTGATAAAGAGGAAAATTTTTAATCGGACGGCCGAGATTTTCGCGTAGGCTTAAAGCTAACGCATTTTAAGTCCAAAACCTCGCCTACAAAAAACCCTTCTCCTTCCTCATTTCCCTAATCACACCTTTCGGCTCCCGTGAAACCTCAGAAGATCTTCTCTTTCATATCGCCGTTGATTTCGTTTCATCGCTACAATGGTGAGTTCTTTGGTTTTCTCCGCGATCTGCATTTCCGTCGCTGCTTGCGAAGCTTGTTTTGTATATTGCGGTTGCTCTTTTAAAAATTTTTTTGGCTCTGTTTTTGAATTTTGTTTCGATGTTTTTTCAGGCGCTTCCGAATCAGCAAACCGTTGATTATCCAAGCTTCAAGCTTGTTATCGTTGGTGATGGTGGAACCGGTAATTCTGTTTCCCTTTTTTCAATTTTTTTTTTCGGTTGAGATATAGGGTTTCGTTTCAGGATTGATGTTTAATGTTGTGTTGATTTCGTGGAAACCTGATTATGACTTGTTTTGATGTTTTGAGAAGTGGTTGATACTTATTTTTCTTCATTTTGGCGTTCGAATTTGAATTTTGCACTCTTTATCTGTGTTAAAATTTGAGGGGTGTTAAACGGAATTGATTAGAACTTTGTAGGGTGGGAAAGGTGTTCATAAAGTTATATATGAATTTAGGGTTTATGATACTAAATCGATGTGCTTAATTTGAAATTGAAATATGGGGTTTGAAGTGGCCTGTGAATTCAGCGTTTCAGTTTAGATTTATTTTTCCTTGTCTTTTCTTTCTGAAGTATTTTACATGCTTAATTTGGAGCTTTTCCTCTCCTGTAGGTAAAACTACTTTTGTGAAGAGGCACATCACCGGTGAATTCGAGAAGAAATATGAACGTGAGTTTATCTGACAGTTCTCCTTTTCATTTTATTGATTGAGAATATTATCTAAACTAAGCTCTAATTGTTTTCCACTTGTGAACAGCAACTATTGGAGTTGAAGTTCATCCATTGGACTTCTTCACCAACTGTGGGAAGATCCGGTTCTACTGCTGGGACACTGCTGGACAGGAGAAGTTTGGTGGGCTTAGGGATGGATACTAGTAAGTCAGATGATTTAGTTGATTTAGTTTACAACAAACTAGCACATTTCTTTTATTTTGCAATGTGAATCGTTTTTTTCTTGGCAATTTAATTTCAATATAATACATAGCTGCAGAGCTGTATGCCGTGAACTCTTCTTTTTTTTCTCCCTCTTGGGGTGTGGCTTTGATTTCTCGGAACTGCTTTCTTAATCCATTTCTTAGCATGGTCTGAGTCTAGTTTTCATGTGCACCGCAGAGTCTGGAGCTTATTAAGCCTGGGTTTGGGGGTATATCTAGATTTGTCTTTGGAACTTCCTGATGTTAAAAATATATTGAAGATCCGGTTTCTTTCCCAGAGTTTTTGTTAGTTGAATCAGTACCTCTGAGTCTGTAGGGGTTGTGGTGCATGTATGCCTTGTAGGTTTTGTCATTTCAGTTTTGTTTTGTGTTCAGCTGGATGTTTTGTTTATTTATGGACTGAGTTTATGTAGTACTTTCTCTCGGGGCAAGAAATTGTGTACAAAATGGTCAGTTTATCTAGTACTTTTCTGATGCTTTTGGTTTAATTGGCAGTATTCACGGTCAATGTGCTATCATTATGTTCGATGTGACTGCTCGTTTGACATACAAGAATGTTCCTACCTGGCATCGTGATCTTTGCCGGTGAGTGTTCCTTTTACTCCCTTTCATGTTATAATATATCAGGAAGTAAGCTTTCTGATAGCTGCTTTAAATAATTGATTGTTGATTGTTGATTGTTGATTGTTGATGCCACATTCTCAGTGTCTGCGAGAATATTCCAATTGTTCTTTGCGGGAACAAGGTAGATGTGAAGAACCGACAAGTCAAGGCCAAGCAAGTTACTTTCCATCGCAAGAAGAACCTGCAGTACTATGAGATATCTGCCAAGAGCAATTACAACTTTGAGAAGCCCTTCCTGTATCTTGCTAGGAAGCTTGCTGGGTAAGTACCTCAAATTGAAACTTGTACTATCCATCCTCATCGGGCATGATGCTAGTTTGTTAATAATGTGCACGAATCTCATATCTTTTCTTTTTCTCTTTTAGTGATCCCAACTTGCATTTTGTGGAGATGCCTGCCCTTGCTCCACCGGAGGTGCAGATCGACCATGCTGTACAGCAACAGTAAGTGTCACTATTTTTGTCTTTGAACATATGTACCCGCAGTTCACAATTTCATTCTTTCTTAGTTTTTGTGCTCATTGTGCCACATTGTTGTAACCTGTCAGGCATGAAGCTGAGATTGCTGCAGCTGCCAATCAGCCCCTTCCTGATGACGATGATGATGCATTTGATTAAGCTTGTGAAGAGCAGTGGTTTTTTGTCACCCTGCAATTTATGATGCTTCTATAGGATTTATGGTCACATTTCTGGCCTGTATCGATTTTCAGAATTTTGTCTTTGTTAGAAGGGATGTTGAGGGATTTCCTCAAGTGATGTAGAAGTTTCTGAACAACTGTCTTGATTTGTGAGAATTATGGTTTTTTAAACTTTTCAGCATGGAGGGGTGATGATGCCTGCTATTTCTATCATTTGTATTGACAGCAATATGTAGGATTGAATTCTCTCTATGGTTAAGCTGCTTGAATGAATCTTAAAGGTTTCACTCCTTTCTGGGAGATTATCATAATTTATGTTCAGTGTGTTTTATTTTGATCAGCGTTCACCAACAAAATCTCCTGTGTATAAACCCAATTTTTGCTTAATTTAGATGAACAAATTTATTCTATGGCTTCTTTGTTCTCTTAGCAGCAGGTTAAAACTATTGGAATACTGTTATCAACTTAACTACACGGCTGCTAACTATAAGAAATGCTGGAATCAAGTTTACAATGCTGTTAGCTATAAGAATTAAGTAAATTCAAATGGTCGTGACTGTAGGAACTTCTGTTGGCTTGGGAAATCGGGTGCCGGAGATTGGAAGGGGAAGTGGACAGCCAGTATGTCGTCCAGTTGTTTTGGAAGAATGGTTTTGGAAGAAGACAGACCTTCGTTCCACGAATGAGAGCCTTATTAGGGCCATTAGGGAGCTTGTACATAAAGAACCTTGTTAAGGCCATTAGAGAGCTTTTGTATAGACTGTAGAAATTAGCCATGTACATAAAGAATGTAATTATTCGACTGACTTTTCAACGATTTTGGCATATCCCTGTAGAATCCTTGAATAAGGTTTTTGACTTGATACAATGAAATACTCCTTTTTTTCACCAAAAAAACAGATTCTCGTGCAAGACTTCCTTATTCAGGCCGTTTCAATTTCAACTAACCAAGTGACCAAAGTTTCTGGTTGAAATTTTCTCTGCCTATAAGTTAGGAAATTACCAATAAAAATTTGGGCTTTGAAATCTATTTTGGTAGTTTTTAACCAACTCCAAAATCCACTTGTTATACAATATATTCGGTAATAAACAAGCCTTAGTATGCAAATGTTTGGGGCTATGATGACCACTGCGGCTGGTCCAATTGTTAAAAATGAACCCCTGAAATTCCGGACTGCAAAGCGCAATCATTCACCTATTTCCAGTGATTCCCCAACATGCAATCCCAACAAGAAGAATGGAACGGATCAAAGAGGCATTGGTTCACTTTTAGATTGCCCATTAAAAAAAGGGTGGCCTTATTGTCAAAACAAATACTGAATTGCCTTATACCGGTATCGGTGGTGCTCCTTTTTGTTGTTGTGTGTCTTGTTCCGCCATTTTTTTAAATTTCGATTTTTAGTAAATCTGGATTTAAAATTTGATAAAAAAGAAGAAAAAGAGAAAGTTGGAGAAAGAGAAAAATAGAAAGAAAAAGAAGAAATGAGGAAAGAAAAGAAGAAAAAAAGAATAAAAAGAATTCAGGGTCAAAATCGTCAAAAACGAACTACAGGTGAATAATTTGTGAACAACGAAAAATAATGCCCAAACAAATATTAGAGTCCAAAACAAATTTTCTACTCATTTCTGATTATACCCCTCCATATAGTCAAACTACATTGGGTGGCCTTATTGACATAGCTCCCTTCCATCCGAGTTTATAACATTGATAGAACAACCTTAACAAATAACAAACTAAAAATAATAAATTCTTCACAAACTACATCAATAGTCTTTCATGTCATCCAAATAAACTTATTGGCAATAATGAACTTTGACATATCTCCCTTCCGTCCGAGTTTATAACATTAATAGAACAACCTTAATAAATACTCCCGCCGTCCCACAAAAAATAATTCAGTTTCAAAATGTACAACTTTTTTAATTTAATTAAACCCAAGAAAGTACGACTCATTTTATTCCTTAACTTTTCCGTTCTTACTCTTGTTTGAAAATTTATCTCAAATTATAAAACTAATCACCGGAATTTTAGTCTTCTCTCCCATCGTTACAGGAGACCAGCAATATCGCCGCCGGCAGTACCTCACCGGAAACTGTTCGATGAATCATGACATTAGCCTATTTATCAGATCGACGCACATCCAAGCCCATAAGATGAAAAGACAATCCCCAAGTTCAAAGATTAAGAAAAAAAAGATTGTTCCATGTTTTCCGCCAGAATTTGCTAAAAAAATTAACTTGTAAGGTTAATGGGGTATTGGTATTTTGAAAGAGGGGAAATAATAAACGTCGTTCAGCCAAAATTGACGTCATTCGCTCCGCTCTCGAATATTATCGCCGGATTTGGAATTACCGCCGGAATTGGTGCTACTGAAATTGTTGCTCTGGACTACTGAAATCGTTAGCAACAGAAAGCACGCATAACACCTGATCATGATCAGAACCCAACGAAGCTGAATTCTCCACATTCTCATGGATGAATGATTAATGGACAATGGACGATCCATCAGAATTTGTGACTCGTTGACCGACACATAGCCGTCGAATTGATAGTTTTACCCATTGAATCTATTTGTCAAAAAGGGTAGTTAAGTCATTTCATATGTTTTAATTTTGACTTTTTAAAAACTGAACTATTTTTTTGAGATAAATATTTTTATGAAACTGGACTATTTTTGTAGGACGGAAGGAATATCAAACTAAAAATAAGAAGTTCTTCACAAACTACATCAATAGTCGTTGATGCAATCCAAATAGTGACTTTGCAGACTCAAGTTAACCAATCCAACTTAAAGAATGTTGCCTCAGTTTCTGAGAATGTTGTTTCCGTAAGAAAGAATGAAATACTTTCTGTGCATGTGATTCTGGAGGCTTTTAGCTTGTTGATAGAGGCCATGACGTAAAATGATACATTAAAAAGTATGACGAAGACTAGAAAGTTTACACATTGGGTACTATCGACCCAAGAAAAACTAGAGCCTAATGCATAAAAATGTTAATGCTGCTTTGGAGTCGCCTTTTTTTATCTTAAAACTTGGTGGGTCAATATTGTCTGGATCCGCAAGCTGTGGCTGCATCTGTGCAAAACTCAAGACTCCGCAAAGAAACTAGCTACCGAAAAGCCAAGCAGAACTGTTTCATAATGAAAAAAGTTACAAGCACATCATGTTTTGGACATACAAGTTCTGAACTTCGTCGGCTTCACCTTCATTTATAGAGAAATAACATAAAGCAAAAAGCACAACTTCACTCCACATAACATAAATGTGGTACTCTCAGGTACCACAATTTAGACCATCAGATCTGATAGAACTCAGAATAAAAGAAGAGCATTTATTCCCCCATCATTTCAATGAAGATGCAGAACCACAGAGATTATGTTATATCATCTTTACATATAAGCCCCCTTTTTAATATGAGATCTTACAATCATTTGCCGGAATTTTTGTAGAGGATGCAGAACAACAGAAATCTCATATCAGCTTTACATATGAGCCCCTTTTAACATGAGATGTTACGATCACTTATTCATCATAATTACAAATTTGTTGGGATTTTCATATAATTCCTAAATTTGATGATGAAATTTAAGAACATGTCATCTGCAGAATGAACGTTCAAACAAAATATTTAAACTGACAGAACTTCCCTGCCACAGCCTTTCCATGTAAACTCGCCAGCTTTCTTGAGACAAGCACATCAATCTGAACATAACTAGAGAAAAACCATGAGGCACTTGGCACCATTTAGAGGTTGGTTAACCATAAATACATAACAATTATGTGGCCATCATAGGCTCGTACAATCTAACGGAAACAAGACAAGCTTCTGCATGCACAAAATTACCTATTGGTGTGGCCCAAAATAAAGGACTTAGGATAGAAGGGCAGGACAGCACATAATGCGAATTAGGATCTTTCCTATGCAAAAGACATAATACCAATATCAACTATAGATGATGAAGGAAAGTTCGAGAGTTACTAAACAACCAGAGTCAACCTTTGAACAAAAATCTTGCAAGAAGTTGCTGACTGTGTGAAACGTAAAAAAAATGTTTAAGAAAGCATGCGAAGTGAAGAGAATATAAACAAAATGGTTAGCAATTAGTTTCGTTGGCTAGTAATATTCAAATGGAGAGCATGAATAAGGGAAATCAAGTAGTAGCAGCATGGACTTGCCATGATCTCATCTGCCATAACGTGGATGAGCGGAGTGTCCGATCAATTACATAGGGAAGAGGCTGAAAAGCAAAAGGTCCCTAACACAATTGATCTCAGGAAGCAAGGGCCTCATTGACTCCTCACCGAGCCCTGAAAATGCAGGTGACGATCAATAACAACTTCCAAGGAGAAGAGCACACGCTCCCAATTGTCACAGGAAAAATCCATTTTCCAAAGAACAAATATTGAACCAAAATCATAAACCCAATCAGCACACCAGAGAAGAAAGCCTTGTTTAGCACCGAAACAATATAGTTATGCAAATAATTACGCTGAAAGATTTTACTTTCAAACTGGAGAGCAAAAACAAATAATTCCTGTAATGAATATAGGATATATATATATATACGCAAGGAAGCAGTATAGAACCATTCCTTTTTATGTGATGTAAAATAAATGAAGTCTTTCTTGCAAAGTATTCACTACATCAATGCAATAGCTAGAAATGTTACCCGACGAGTTAAACATAAGTTCAAACTTCTCATACGTATAACTGCTTACAGTATGTGGAGAAACAGTAAACAAGGAAATACAGCAGAGGATACAACCAGCCAAATGGCCATCATCTACAATAAGCACCGCTTTGATCAGAAAGAAGGTACCTTATCTCCATCAAATGTTCATCATTTGACACATGTAGCATGATACGGAGATTAGTCAACATTGACTCTTGTTCCCAACTTAAAGGACCAGAAGCATGCAACACTTTTAAAGTGCTGCGATAAGCACGTAGCTCTAAGTCATGAATACTTACCGCCTGTTCCTCTTCTGAAGGAGAGAGAGGACAGATCTCCTCATCGTCAGTTGAAAATGACTCTGCATCACTGCAAAGTTCATCTGACACTTGACAAGATACCCGTACAAAACCATTAGAAGATCCATTTTGACCCACACTAACAGCACTACAACTCCCAACTGACGAAGACACAGTATCTGAATCATGAGGTTCAGAACTTCCAGGAAATCCAGCATTACACTTAATTTTCCCTCTTTTTGGTTCATTATACCTAATCATTCCATCCTCTAAGAGAGTATGCATATGCAATTTTCCCATAACGTCTCTTGTGTGAGTAACATCTACCTTTTCGAAACCAACAGGTGTAGTCATCCTTTGTCTCCTACCATCCTTCTCAACAGCTCTACACTTCTGAGGGCTTCCTACATGAGATTCACATACTGAGGACCAACAAGGGGATGCCCTTTTCAAGGATCTTGATAAAACTTTGTCAGACTCTTGCACCCCTGTTTTCTCCTGAAATCTGACACAAGAACCAATTGGAGCTCTTTTTTGTGTCTTTGCACCAGATACTTTCTTCTGGGAATACTTTGAAGGTGATAGGTTACCTACTAGCTCCACTTCACATGCACCAGAACTCTGCAAAGAAAAAGCCAACCAATGATTGAGATGTTCAATAAAGGGAACAATTCACATAATAGTGAAAACAAGTAAGGACATCTTTACCAGGTAATCACAAAAAATAATAGCTCAATGAACTTAAAATGATGAAAGAGTATGTACCTTTCCCATCAGGATCCACTTATCATCAAGCCACAATAGCTGATCTCTGATGTTCGACTTGTGTAGAGTGGATTCCATACAAGATCCAGATAACCTCACTGTGTAGTAATCTCCTGGCAAAATTTTCAAGATGGTAGCAATCTTCCATGAGAGATTGTGAAACACCTCAACTGCTTCTCCAACTTCCCTAGTCTGATCACCTATTAAATAAGGAGGACGTGGTCTCACCAATTTCCTTGACACTTTTTCCATCAAAGAACCACTGTCCATAACTGGAGGATAATCATAATGGACACTGTAAGTATGCCCATTACCACTAAGTATCTCAGCTGTACGCCATGATACAGGAACCTCCTTCTTGTTCATAACCTCAACTTTACTGCCCTTTCTGAGCCTCATATCTGATTTCTTCAGTGCAAAATCAATCAAAAACTGTTATCAAGAAAACAAGACGAAAATCAATCAGTAAATCCTTCAAACTGAAAAAAATAAAAACTTCGGCAAAGCCAAAGTGAAATCAGACGTTGAATCCATAAGGAAAACAAAAAAACCAACGCCAATGGCAGAACTACCACACTGTTAAATATAACATATCAACGCAGGCAAAAACAAACTCCAACAAGTTTTTAAACCTTAAACAAACCAGTTCGTCAGAAAGACGACAACAGATCCAACGAACGAAAGAAAACGCAAAAGCAACCAACAGAAATTCATTTGATGTTATCATACATATGATCGTACCGCATTAATAAAAAAAGTAAAGAGTAAAAATTTTTTTACAAAAAAAAATAAAAAATCAGGAAGGCATGTTTTGAAAGTTCACAGAATTCAGCAGATGGATGATCAAAAAAAAAAAAAAAGCAACACAAATTAACCAGAAAAATTAGGAATTGAAAAACCCCCAAAGCGGAAAAATCACGACGAGAAATCTGCTGAGTACTCACCTTTAGACGAATTCCTCAGAATGGGAGAAACTATTTCACGTCTGAAAGAGGTTTAATCGCTGATTACGCCAATCGCACGACTGAAGAAGAGGTAATTGAATCTGCTAGTTCTGCGGTTTAGGGTTTGCTTTGCCGTGGACAGGAAAATAGGAAAATGGAAAACGAATAGAAACAAAATTATTTAAATAATAAAGCAGATTAGGGTAAATTTTGATAAACACAAATTGCCTTTCCCCTTTTTTTTGATTGCTTGTGTTGTGACGGAAGTTGTGAAAGCCCATTACTTAATCCATTAAATTAGTAACAAAATTTAATAATGAAAAAAAATTAATTGATACTCCCTCTACCCAAAAAGAGAAAAAAAAAAATACTCATTAAATTGTATTGTTTTCGTCTCACGAAGTGATTCAATCAATGGTCTTCATTCGTAAATTCATCCATATAAATGTTTTTTTATAAAAGTACCTGTATATTAATTAAACGTAAGTATTTAAACTATTTCATTGTTGCTTAGCGTAAGCTAATTGGTGAAGTTCATGAACTTCGTTTCTACGAACCTTAACTATAAAACAAGATTGAAATGAAGATATATTAAACTATGCAACTGAGATACCACATTTTGTGCTTCATTTGGAAAACGGTGCAAAGATTGATTTGAGGTCAATAATTCGCAGTCAGTTTAGACAAGGACGCTTTGAAGATCAAGTGTGGATGCTTCTTGGAGGGCAGCAAGGCATGTCATGTTCTCGGTTTGAAATGCTGAGAGGGAGGAGAGGTAAACTGCTTTAATCTGCAAGAGTATCCCTGCAGTTGTCTCAATTTTTCATGCTCCAGCAGCTGTTCGATTGGTGGGATGGAAAGAGCCATCAAAGGTGATGATAACTTGGTAATCTTGTCTCATGGACACTGGTGTGTTGGAGGAATGCATGGAATTAAGTCTAAGAAGAGTAGCCTTATGGTCTGTGGCAACATTTTGTATAAACCTCCAAGACTAAATTGGATCCGTACTTTGATTACGCCACCTTATCATTTCTTTCAATCCAAATTTTTTAGAAGATTAAAAGGAAAAGATCAAGGAGACTGCTCTGAAGGAGACTGCTGGATCCAATGTACAAACCCATCCAAAATAGGCTGCTGGATCCAATGCACAAAGGTTATCCTCTGAAGGAGACTGCTGGATCACAAACCCATCCAAAATAGGCTGATGATTTCTATCCAAGATTGATTGAAAAGTAGGATACGCAAAGCTCCAGATTGCATGTGATATTGGACAGTTTAAAAATAGGTGGTGATTGTCTTCAACCTGAGTGAAACATCGTGGACAAAGGGAGTCCAATTGTATTCCTCTTATTTGTAAGCCATCCCTAGAAGGGAGAGCATTTAACACTACCCTCCAAAACAGAAGTTTGTGTTTAGGTTGAACTTTGGAATTCCATAATTTTTTTCATGCTTGGATCTCCCTCTAATTTATTTGTGGATTTGGAATTTGATTCTGATATGTTCCATTCAAAGCAATGTGGTACCATGATTGCATCGTATAATTCCCATGAGAAGTATGTATCCATTTAATCTTATTATTTTGGGTACTCTTGGAGGGATCCAAATAAATTCCAGTGATATATGGAACGACATGGTCTGGAAAAATAGTTCTAACGAATGCTATTTTCCACTGTCCATTTGATCGAATAAGATCCCGAACCCTGAGGTTTGAATGCCTTGCTAGAAAAGAATCTCTCTGAATAGGATTCAAATGAGATGGAATCCAATCCTCCGCTATATGTATATTCCTTCCAGAAACAATCTACCACTTGGTATTTCTATGAAGAAATTTGGCACCCCATAACACACTTTTGTAGCCTCAGGTAGTATTAGAGGGTGGAGTAGTTTGTGGAAAAGATTCTGAACCATTGTACTTAGCTCTATAGACTCTTGAAATCAATGATCTTGATTGGGAAAGGATTTTCTAAGCATGTTTTGCCAATAGTGCTTGATTAAATTCCTGCGTAGCTTTCAATCCAAGCCCTCCATGAAAAGATTTTGATATCTTTTTCCATGATCTGGATAGCCTTATGTTGAGATTCACCTTTCCAAATGAAATTGCTGATAATGATGTCTGCCTTTCGCAGCATTGAAGCTGGTAATCCCATAGGATATACTAACATGGCAGATAGTGTGGATTTAGCTAGAGTAACCCTTCCTGCAAGAGTGAGGAGTTTTGTCTTCCAATTCGCAAATTTATTAGTCAACCTTGCTGTAAAGCATTTGAAGATATCCTTTTTCTTTTCCTCTAAAGTCCAAAGATAGACCTAGGTATTTGCTACGAAAGACACCTTCACTAATTTTTGTGGCTGAATGAATTAGTAATAATTGATTATCTAACCTGAGTAGGAGGCATATATTTCTACCTATTAGGGCCGGAATTGATTCCTCTGTGCATTCAATGAAGAATAAACTGTCATCAGCGTACATCAGATGGCTGATCCTTGGAGCTCGTCTACTGATCTTGATGCCAAGTCTTGGAAAGGTCTAAATTTCTGCCCTAATAGTAGAAGAAATGACTTGCTGACATAGGACGAACAAATATGGGGACAGTGGATAACCTTGTCTTAGTCCTCCTTTTGGAGAGAAATAAGAGACTCTCTCCATTAACCTGGATGGAGTATGAAACTGTTGTAACACATAACATGATTAGTCTGATGATCTGCATTGGGAAGCCTACTCTTGTGAGAACTGCCTCTAAGAAGGGCCATGAAACTCTATCATACGCCTTGCTCATATCCAGTTTGATCGCAGCCAAACTTAGATCTCTTTTTTGTTGATGTGCTCAATGACTTCATGTGCTTGGAGAATGTTTTCACTGATGTTTCTTCCTGGCATAAAACCATTCTGAAATTCATCAATAGGAATTAAGGTCGTCAATCTACTTGTGATCATTTTGGTAATAATTTTGTACTTCACGTTACATAGACTCATTGAGCGAAAATCGGCAGGAGAAGCTGGATTTGGACTCTTTGGAATCAAAACCAGATTGCTTTGATTCCATTCTTGGGGGAAATGTAGATTATTAGCAGCATCAAGTATAGTCTCTTCCACACCTTTCCCTATGATGCTTCTGTAAGTCTTTTAGAATCTAGCAGGCATTCCATCTGGTCCAAGGGCTTTCCAGGGTGCCATTTGGGTAATAGCTTGCCATATTGCCTTAGTGGTAAAAGGTTGAGACATAGTATGAACCTGATCAGGTGACAAAATACTTTGTACATTTTGTAGGAGCTTTACCATGAAAGGAGAATCCGTAGATGGGAGAAACCGATGGTGAGAATCAGAGTAGATATACTTAAAATGATGTTGTAGAATTTGGCCAAGTTGATCAGTGTCTTGAACCCAACAACCATTTCGATCTTGGAGTTCAGTAATCCAGTTGTTTCCTTTTCTTCTAGTAGCCCATTTATGAAAAACTTTGTGTTTTTATCCCCCCCGCAAGGGCCATATGAGCTTAGATCTTTGCTGTCAATAGTCGTGCTGATGTTGAATAGCCTCTTTAAGTTCCAGTCTTTTTTTTTCTAGACTTGAGTGAACACTTGAGTATCATTTGGTGAAGACTCCAGTTGCACTTGTAAGGTAGCTAGTTGATCTTTGGGTTTAGCTACCAGTTTGTCCATATTTCCAAACCGATCTCTACTCCAGTTATGAAGACTAATGAGACTTGATTTCAACTGGTAAGAAATTTTTTCCTGATGTCCTTGAACCTGTAAAGTGCCTTGAGTCCAGGCAAACTGAACTAAAGTTTTTGACCTAGGACAGTTAGCCGAAAATTGTTCAAATTTATAGTTTTGCCTAGGTTTTCTTTTTTGCTCTTTGAGTTGCACTAGTATAGGTGCATGATCAGAAACCATTATAGGTAAATTGCATATGATTGCTTTTGAAAAACATGTGAGCCATTGCCTATTGACAAAGGCTCTGTCAAGTTTTTCAAAGATCACCTCTTGGTGTTGTCTCTTGTTTGTCCATGTATACTAGCAACCAGTATGAGGAAGTTCTTCGAAGCCATTGTGAGATAAAAATTGCTGAATGGGTCTGGTCTCCTGATCTCTAACTAAACGACCACCATTCTTATCTTCCTGACTAGTAACCTGATTAAAATCTCCAAGAACTACCATAGGATAATTCAAACTGCTGATATTGGTATTAAGTTGAGACCAAAATTCAATCCTACCTTAAGGGGAAAGCAGACCGTACAACAAAATGCCAATCCACTCAGCACCTGAGGGTTCCTTCATCTTGACTACCATGACATTAATACTATGTTGTACAACTTGCTGTTGCACACTATTAGTCCAAAACAAAGCCAACCCACCACTAGACCCTATAGAATCTATTACAAAAGAGTTCTTATAAATAGTAGATTGTTGCCAGGTTTCCATAGTCTTGGAACTGGCCCTAGTCTCCATTAAAAATAAAATAGTAGGTTTATAATGCATACTTAATCTACTTACACATGCTGTGTAGAAGCATTGTTAATTCCTCTACAATTCCATGACAAGATACTCATTTTGGTGAAGACAGTTGATCTGGTACAATTACCGCAAAACCATTCAGCATGTCAATTGTCTCCTGCTCTCACTTGTCATAAGTATCCACTGCAACTCTCATTCTTGATGCCTTGGCTGCCTTTTTGCTTGATCTATCATGATCATCTTCTGAATCGGATGATGCTCTCTTTCTGCTGGTGATGGAAGCCTCTGAGTCCATGTCATCATCACTGTCAACTTTCATACGAGCCTGAGATGGCTGCTTTCCTGTCCTTCTGGAATTCTTGGCTCTCTTCGTGACAACACGCTGTTGGGAGGGAACGACAGTCTGATAAAATGAGGGAAGGTCTGTCTCAGATGCTGCCCGACGAATCTTCGTCTTCCATATATCTTCATCACTAGATTAGCCTGAACCTGCAGATCCTTGTCCCATCCTGTAAGTGTGAGATTTCTTGAACTTGCGTCCTCTAGGTCCCAAGGTGGAATCAACTCTGGGGTTGAACTCAACAGACTCTTCAGAAGAGGGGTAAGAAACAACATGCCTAGTGGTTCTCTGTCCTGACTAAACTCATAATCAGAGCTTCCAAAAATGATACCATTAAAAACAGAATTTGGTGATGTTTTTGGATATGGAGGATAGTCCGGGATATTGGGAACAAAAACATGAGGAATATAACTCGCATCAGATAACATATCCTCCCCTAGAGGATCTTCAGGGATAGCATAAAATGATTCAGGCATACGAAACTGACTAGATGAATCCAGAGGAGACAAATCATCAGTATCTGAAAAGTTTGAAGGAAGGGAATAAAATGTACCCTGTAAGGAGCTGGAATCCTCCTGGTCGAGATCCTTCCAAGCCTGCTTGTGCGCATTATCACTGAAGTCTAGTCCTTCTGTCTCTGCTGCAGGAGCTTCCATGGGACTAGGATCATAATAAACTCTGGAATAAGTACCGGAGGGTCCAAACATCTGGTATGTTGGTAGTAAATCATTCACTGCTGGAAGATCGTTGTGGTAGAAGTTATCAGCATTAATATCTACCTGATGGTCACGATCATCATCATCCTAGTCATCGCCATCATCATCCCCAGGATCACTCTCTCCATCATCTCTACTAGGAGGCTGCTTTGGGTCCAAGGAATAGGTTCATCTTCTTCCAATTCAGTAATGATAAAGCCATCCTAAATGTAATTCTCTAGGACATTGGCATAGAACTCCGCCATTTTTTCTGCTTTATAATCAGCGATTCTAGTGCACCTTTTTTATTTGTGTTCATGTGCCCTCAAAGAGCTAGTATAAAGAGGCTTGGATACATCAATTAACATGGGAGTATTAAACTTAGCCGATTTTGCTGAAAAGAGATCATCTAGAAATTGCTCTAGTGCATTAGGCTCTAACATATATCATCTCTGGTTGGGGTGGCCTAATCTACCACAATACTTACAATATTTATGCATTTGTTCATACTTACATCTGATTTTTCCTAACTTGCCATTTCTCTTAGTAAAATGAAAGCAAGGGGTTAAAGGCTCCCCTGGTTTGAGCCATACCTTAGTTCTCACATAGGTAGCTTTCCACAAAGAAACACAGCCTTTCTTGATGAGAGCCACCTCTCCAACAAGTCTTGCCAGATCTGCAACTCCCCTGTAGTTCATCATTGAAATTGGGACACCATGCAAGCGAACCCAAATACTGAATTTGTCAATTATGATACCATCTAGCGCCAGATCTTCATCATCATAATACCTTCTCAGGATGAGAAGACCACCATTCACCACATATGGGCTGTTATCGAGGACCATCAAAAGAGCAGATCTAGAAAGAAACTTGATGACAAAGAAATTGCGGTCATAGTGTAAAACTCTTGTGCACATTGGCCAATTATCAGTAAGACACTTCTGCATGGCTCGATCATCCACTTCTCGATCATCAATGAGGCAGCCCAACAGAGAGAAACGAAGATTATCCCTGGATAATAACCTAGCAGCATCAGTGATTTGCTTGTTACTAGTGCGTAGGTATGGCAACACTATGTACCTTGGATCTGCATTAACACCCGGTCGAAAGTCATGATCTTCTTCAAAAAAAACTCAGACCCTTGAACCGACATGGCAGTGACTGAATCCTCATTCATTGCATGTCGATAATTCATGGTTGAACAATTAATGGCTTAAAGTAAAAATGGAACAGAAGTGAAAGTTAAAGTTAAGAAAAGAATAGATATGGTTTGTAGAGACAAGAAAATAACAGGAAGACTAAATGAGGAAGTAAATAGAGGAGTAAATGAAGTTGGAGAATATTAGAAGACTCCTTGAGCCGCACGAAATAGAAAATAGCAGCGGGAAAGGCAGAAGCCTTTTAAGAAAAGTCTGAGAACTTTAATGTTCTAAGATATGGGAAAGTACAACAACAACTTTTGGAATTTTCATAAATAAGCACTAGAAACAAAAGTGAAGATTGCATTGGTGATCTGAACAGGTAGAGCGATTTTATAAAACTATTCTTAGTAAGAAAATTGGACCTCATTGGACTGAATAATGCGTTTTGATGTCCACCAAATGTCATCAAGGTCTGATTATATGTGTCAAATCGACATGCAAAACCACAATATGAAAGGAAGATGGTAAAACAAGGTGCTGAAAGGGATAGTGGATGAATTGAATTCAATTTATGTGGATGATTTGTGAGGATGAACAAATATATTTTGTTGGTATTTGGATTTTTTTGTCTTTAAGATTTTTAGCCTTTCTCAATTGAGAGAAAGATAGAACATTCTCTCACTAAAATTTCTAGAGAGAAAGACAACGAGGCTGCTGGAGTTGGTTGTTATCCATATAGGTGTTCTTAAACCCTTTTGGATTATTGACTGAATTATGTAATTAACATTATACATTTTTGAAATTTATTACCATGTAGAAAATGTCAAGAGGAATTCTTAATTCTATCTATAAGATGACAAAATGAGCACAATCAAATAAATATGTGAGTACTGCACAAAATACATATGTAAATAGTAATGATAAAAAGAATGGGTGCTACCTTCATTTCTAGCAGGGTAAGTTTATAGTAACGATAGCGAACATATATATTGTATATGTAAATTTTATAGGTATACTTAGATTTTAGATTGGAGTAATAGCAACAGATTTTCTATTCTACATGCATAGCTCATTTTTACACACTATTTTAAGTAAAAAAAAATCAATAATATTTTTTTTGATATAATAAAAGAGGTACATATATCATTTCATTATAATAAAACTTTATGTATATAAGAAAATTCGGATCACATCGGGCCCAAACCATAATTTAACTCTATTACAATTCCCTACTGCTCCTACCGGCCAATGATGCTAACAGAATGGAAATTGAACCTTCTTTTTTTTTTTTGGAATGAAAAACTATTATTATCATGAGATAGTAGAAGTACAAGACGTTACATCATAGGCCCGTTGATGGGCTAGACTTATCCTAGTCCTACTTTCTTGATTATACAATATTTGAAAAAGTGAGCCATATTTAATATGTCTTGCCTAATACCTGAGTGCCATGGCGGTACCAGATCCGTTCCCTGCAAAATTCTAACAACCTTGACACTATCTGTGTAGATTTGCACCTCCTTTCATCCGTAGCGGACCCCAATTTGAATCGCCTCCCATATTGCTTTCATCTCCGCTTGCAAAGGTTCCAGAGCATGGCACCGCTTCGCTAGTGTGTGTATCACATCACCGGCCACATTTCTTACTACTACCCCCCACCCAGCCAGGCATTTTGTTTTTGAAAGGATCCGTCCACCCCCATCCGCCATTCCTCCATATTCCCCTCCGGGACTTCCTGGCCTGCTAATATAAAGAATTCTCCACCGTCGTCCACTCCCTCACTATCCGTCCATTGTCGATTCTCCCTACTATCATTATGGTAACTATTTGCCATCTGGGGTTGATCCCGACAAATCCCCGCAGATCGTTCAACCATTTCCTTAGCTTCATGCAAGACCCTGTCTGCTGACCAGGCTTCATTGTTCCAAGCCTTCTTATTCCTTGCCAGCCATATAGCCCATAAAATGCAGGCAGAAAGGTTTCTATCTCCCTCCGTGGGAGCGTACCTCAACCAAATCCTCAGCCAGTCCCTGAACCTACACCTCTGACCCTGTGTAAAGTCAAAACCAAAGGGTGACCTCCTCCAAACGACTTGAGCCTCTATACACTCCAGGAGCATATGCTCCACTGTCTCTTCTATATTGCCACACCTTGGATATATTGGTGGAACTAACCTCCCTCTCTTCACCAGAGTTAAAGCAGTTGGGTAAGCATTCACTGCTACTCTCCAACGGAAAAATCTAACCTTTTGCGGTACCCTCATATCCCACAATTGCTTCCGGAAGTCCTCGTACCGCTCCTCCCACTTTACAGACCTTTCAGATGTTTCTGGTACCCTCTCCCCCTCCATCTTTAAAGCTAAATGGTATGCTGACTTTACTGTGAAACGACCGGAACCGACCTGCCCCCAATAAGGCATATCCTTCTCTTCCGTCTCCTCCATACCTATGTGTATAGCCAAAATATTTGGGATCACCTCTGCCGAAAGTATTGCCTGTAACAGTTGTATATTCCATCTTCCTGGTCCGTCCATTAGATCAGCAACTTTGAGATGCGCCTCCCATCCCTGCATTGCCCTCCTTTTAATGGGATTGTCTATCCCCGGTATCCGTTCATGATCCATCGTTAGCGTCCTTCCACTTTTCACCTTCCATCTCAGTCCTCTCTTAACCAAATCTCTGGCCCACAATATCCCTTTCCATCCCCATGAATCTGCTGGTTTCGCCTCCACATTCCAGATATCCCTTGTACTACAGTATTTTGCTTTCAAGACTCTCACAAAATAGAGATTCCTCTCCATTCCCAATCTTCCATGCCAGCTTCCCTAGAAGAGCTCTATTCATTTCCTCCGTCTTTCTCATCCCCAATCCCCCCCTCCACTTCGATCTACATTTATCATTCCATGCTTTCTAGTGAATACCTCTTCCCTCCCCATCCCCTTTCCAAATGAATCTTGCCAAAAATTGATCAATCTTCCTTGCTGTCCCTGATGCTATCCGAAATGCTCCTAGGGTATAGTTAGCCATAGTTCCTAGGACGTGCTTTGCCAATGTGATCCTCACTGGTACGAAAAGATCCTCTACCTTCCATCCTTTCACTTGGTTCTTATCCTATTACTCAACTCCCTGAAAACATTCACCTTACCTTTTCCCAGATCGAGGTTAAAGCCTAGATATCTCTCGTCCAACAACCTTCTTGTGACATTAAACATGATAGAAAGATATGGTCCCACGACGGATCTGTATTAGGACTGAGAAGTATGGAAGACTTATTAAAATTGATGCGCTGACCCTCATGCTCCATAAATACCTTCAATACCCTTGTCAGCTCCCTTGTAGCCTCCACAGAGTTTTCCGTGAAAATGTTACAATCATCTGCAAACATTAAATGCACCGCTGGGCCATTTCTCGAAATTTTAATTCCCTTTCCAACCGGCAAGAATCGGTTTCCATTCAGTAGAGCTAATAACGCTTGTTGACAAAGGATGAATAGAAAAGGAGATAGCGGGGCACCCCTGTCTTAGCCCCTTGTTTGGCCGAAACTCCTGTGATGTCTCACCATAAAAGGAAACTGCCATTTTAACAGTACTCACACAGTGCATTACCCACCAATGCCATTTCTCTAGAAACCCCATCGAATCATAACCTTGTCAAGAAAATCCCACGAAATCCAGTCATAAGATTTGCTCATATCCAATTTTAGTGCCATGAAGCTCTTTTTCCCCTCCTTGCGCTTTCTTATGAATTCTATCACCTCATGGGCAATCAGGGCGTTTTCTGTTATTAAACGACTGGTGGTTGGATTTGTGTAGTGTCGTTGATCTACTTCCCAAAAGAATAATTTATAAACCCACTTAAAACTATTAGCTAG